AACGCCATCGAACTGCCTGTCAGAACTCTATGCCAACAAGAGTTCTTAACAGAAAATTAAAATTTATGGCAAGTGTTGTCTCGACGTAGTTTACATAAATTTCGTATGATGAGATCATTGTTCTGGTGATCTCAGTGGGCCAACCGTGGACAATCTGCTACATTGATGCCCTTAGGAGGAACGAGTTTAAAACATTGTTTCCCGATATATTAGCCACAAATGGAGAGGTCGAACTTATTTTAAAAGGACAATAATCTACTCGAATAGTCTCCAACAGCTTACACTCCAGTTTCCAGCATCTTATATACCAGTCTCCAACAGCCTATACTCCTGTTTCCAGCATCTTATATACCAGTTTCCAACAGCTTATAATCTATTCTCCAGCATCTTATATATACCAGTTTCCAACAGCTTATATACCAGTCTATAAAAGATTATATACCTGTCTCTGACAACTTACATACCAGTCTTCAACAGCAAATACATTATTCCCAAACAGTCAACAACAGTCACCAACAGTCAGTGGTACAAGAAACAAAGCAAGAGCAGCGTCACATGAGAGCTGACCGGAACATCAGTAATTAAATGTCCTCCAATCAGTCTGCCATTAAATTGTTCAGCCTCACAGCCCGTGAACGGTTTGTGTGGTGGCATCTCTGTCTCTTGTCAACGTGTTCATTTAATGACGCCTGACATTTTCAACACGTTTCCAATCAGGTGTTGCGTTTAGTGTCAGGGGCTTAACCATATATTCCCCCCTTTCATTTTCACCTGAACAACAACAACCCCCCCCCAAATCCCCAATGGTAACTCGGTTTGGCGGGTAAATGTACTCTACATGCGCAATGGGGGCGGGGGTAGTAGTGAATGATTGCTATCAATAGATTCCAGTGCGTTGTACTGGTCGTGAATTATTGGGGTGTGGTAGTGGTGGGTGATTGCTATCAATAAATTGGGGTATGTGTTAAATGATTGCTATCAATAGATTGGGGTATGTGTTAGTAGTAAATGATTGCTATCAATAAATTGGGGTATGTGTTAAATGATTGCTATCAATAGATTGGGGCATGTGTTAGTAGTAAATGATTGCTATTGTAAGGGAGCCTTGCTTGCTCTTTGCTAACCTTCATCTATATCTGGCAATCACTAAGGAAACAACTCAGGCGATAACATTTGATGATTCTAATCTTGTTCTTTATTAGGCTGACACTTCGCTTATACTTGCTCTCATCTCGCAACCCTGACTGCCCTCTTCTCATACCGTCCAATTCTCCCTGCTATCTCCTTCTCTGTCGGCCGCGTTCAGGCCGTCCCGTCCAGAGGTCCCTATTTATAAGTCCCTGGTCCATAGAGTTCCTCTCCCAGGTCTGTACTCGCGCACTATCCCCCGCCCCTTGATCAGTCGGCACCCAGTCGTCCCAGGGAAATACCCTGGTCAGATGGCCGGTACCGCCCGGCGCTTTGATCAGTCGATCGTGATCCCTGGTCAGATGGCACCGGCTGTACCTGGTCAGATGGCCGGTAACCCTGCTGCGAGATCTGACGCGCGCTTTGATCAGTCGATCGTGATCCCTGGTCAGATGGCTGGTAACCCTGCTGCGAGATCTGACGCCCCCGGCGCCGTCGTGGTCCGAACTCTCCACACTATCAATAAATTGGGGTATGTGCTTGTAGTAAACGATAGCTATCAATAGATTGCGATGTGGTAGCAGTGAATGATTGCTATCACTCCAGAGTACTGCATACCATTTAGTGTTTTACAGAGAACACTCCTACAGACGCGAAATTCAGTTCTAGAAACTTGCTTTGTGAGTTTTTGTCCCCTTCCCTTCAAGTTTAAAAGTCTTAGTTAAGCCACACTTCTGTCTTATCTCTTTTATTTCAATTGCTTAAATTGGTGAATTAGATGTGCGTGACCTCAGAAGAACAAAAGTAATAATATTTGTATTTCCTCTGGTTGCCTAATGTTTTGACAACATGACGACACCATTAACTGGCCATGGGTCAAATCATAAATTGTTATCATAGAATAGTCCACAAGGATATTAAGAAAACAAAGATGGAACAATGTAGCAATGTCAATTATTGGCATTCATGATAACCTACCTTCACCCTGCACTGGTTGGTACCTCAGCACTTAAGCATCCCGTGATAATCAGCTAGGCGGCTTGCGTTCGTCAACACCAGGATTACGCTGTCGAACAGGTTAATGAGTATCAATAATAAGAACACCATTATAACTGGGTGAAAATAACATTTGGCAATGTCACGAAGTGCAGTCATTCAGTTGTTGGGTTAATTACCTCTGGCTTACCACCAGTTGTGTCTCTTAACTAAAACCCTGGCACTACTGCTCTACACCACACCCCCTACCCCCACCCCACTCACGCCAAAAAAAACCCACCAATTTTTTGGGAAGATGCAAAGAGGAACGCCCTGTTAAAGACATTTTTTTTAAAAAAAAGGGAAGAGCAGCGGTTCTCAACCTGTGGGTCGCGACCCCTTTGGGTCGCCCAAGACCATCTGAAAATATATAATCTACAGTTATAAAGCATCCACTGATAAAAAATTGTGTGGTTGGGAGTCGCCACAACATGAGGAACTGTATTAAAGGGTCACCGCATTAGAAAGGTTGAGAACCACTGCTGAAGAGCAAAAAATAATAAAATTGAAACACTACTCATACATGTTTTTACTGGTGTGTTTGTATCGCTAAAATTAAAAAAAAACAAAAAAACATAAAACAATTGACCATGCACGATTACTTTAGCTAGAGGTTCAGTACTTGTACAGTAACATTCGCGTCGTCGGTGACCAATTAATCAGAACAATTTGGATGCTACCATTTTTGTGCTGTGCAATTGATTTGTATGAGCTGTGTTTTTTATGTTCATTGGCGTTAAACATACTTGTTCGCAGAGGTCAAAGGTTGTGGCAAATTTGCGGCATCTTTTTGACCGCCTCCTCCGTACGCACCTCTTGGCGTTTGGACCATCAGGAGTAGTTGAAGATTCCGGGGGGGCTGAAGTTCTCTGGTGACACCTTGACGGGCGGATGACAATCTCACAGAGGATGACACCAAGTGCAAAATAATACATTTGTCAAGAGTTTGATCAGGCCATCTCGGAGGTCCATGGGGGCAGTCTGGATGGGGTGACACCTTGAGTTTACAGCACAATAAGGGCCATGGGGGCAGTCTGGATGGGGTGACACCTTGAGCTTACAGCACAATAAGGGCCATGGGGGCAGTCTGGATGGGGTGACACCTTGAGCTTACAGCACAATAAGGGCCATGGGGGCAGTCTGGATGGGGTGACACCTTGAGCTTACAGCACAATAAGGGCCATGGGGGCAGTCTGGATGGGGTGACACCTTGAGCTTACAGCACAATAAGGGCCATGGGGGCAGTCTGGATGGGGTGGCACCTTGAGTTTACAGCACAATAAGGGCCATGGGGGCAGTCTGGATGGGGTGACACCTTGAGCTTACAGCACAATAAGGGCCATGGGGGCAGTCTGGATGGGGTGACACCTTGAGTTTATAGCACTATGAGGTCCATGGGGGCAGTCTGGATGAGGTGACACCATGAGTATACAGCACTTTGAGGTCCATGGGTGCAGTCTGGATGGGGTGACACCCTGAGTTTACAGCACCGGGTGACGCCAACTTTTTGTGGCACCTACTCAGCAAAAGATACAAAAGGGGAGTAGGCCAAAATGACGTGATGTGACCTTACGCTAGTTAACGAGGCACTGGTAACCACACAATGTTGGGTCTTTCTGTATGACACAGGCCAGAGGCAGTGTTGTCAGAAAATGTTCTTAGTAAATTACAAGGAATCTAACTTTAATTTGTATATTTTGATCCCTCTTTACCCCAAGATGCTCGTTATAACCCCCTTTTGGGGTAATTTACCCCGGTTCGCTGACCCCTGCCCAAAGACAATGATGATTGTGTTTCTCTTTGTAACATATGATTTATTCTCTTAGTTATATTAGAGTATGCATTTCCCTTTGAGACATGAGCCCCTAATCTCCCACCCCACCACACACCTGGAGTGTAACTTGTAAACTTGATCAACTACAATGTACAAGTTAATCCCAATTGATTAACACGAACCCGATATCAACGTGAAGCTACCCTGTTATTTAAGGTGTCGAAAAAACCTTTCAATGAAGATTTTTAAGAGTAGTCATTTTATATAAATATATATATATATATTTGTTTACAACAAAGATGAACAAGTTGCATGTGCAAACACTTTGTTGTAAAATAATCTGAAAAAAAACACAACTCATTTCATTGATAAATTCTGTAATAAACTGTGCTATCCATATTGTCAATTTTTTGTCACATGCTCTGGCAATCAGAATGTGTTATATATGTTACTATGGCCAGGCTGTCAAATAGATAGTCATAAGAGATTGCTTATAAAGTTTATTCATATAGTCTAGGCTTCCATAAAACTTTATAAAAAGACTGTCATTAAGAGTGTCATAAATACTGTCATTAGATTCATATACAGTGTCATAAATAATGTCATTAGTGTCATAAACAGTGTCAAAAATACTGTCATTAGTGTCATAAATACTGTTCTAATGTGTACCAAAATTTAGTTTTCTTGCAATGCATACTTGTTTCTACCGTTGGAATTATAACTTGAAAACATAATATTATCGTTTGGTAACATCAATCAAATTATTTGGTAACACTCATTAATGTATTTGGTAATACCTATCAATGTATTCGGTAATACCTATCAATGGATTTGGAAATACCCATCTATTTATTTTGCAACAACCGTCAAAATATGAAGAATATATTTTAAAACAAGTGGCCAGAATTGGTAAACATTTTCGTTGAAACTCCCCTTCAATGTCAGGGTAAATTTTAGGTGAACAGAAGCGTTACTTTTACGTATTTTAAAATAAATTCTTATACGTCTCCAAAAGAATAGACAATTTCATTTTATTGAAGAATAACGTGAAAACGTGCAAAAAGGTAAACTATTCAACAAGTCAAATTTAAAACTTGCTTTTGTCCTGATTCTGTGAATGGATCTCTAAATGCGGGTCTCCCTTGGCACAATGGAACATTCTGTTCAAAACTGTTTTAAATCTTGAACTCATTCCACGGTACACGAATATATTCACCGAAGAGTTCAAGGCCTCCGTCAGGTGAACGAACGCCCAGACGACCGTGAACAGGTTATTGTAAAACATGCCTTTGTTAAACTCCGGGACGAAGATCATGACGAGGAGCAGTGCGGTCCCCGGCAGGTAGCACACCAGGAACATGACGGTGAGGAGCAGCACCATCTTGCTGGCTCTCAACTCTCTCATGGACAAGGGCGAGCTTTTCTCTGCAGCGGATGCCGTGCTTCTCCACAGGGTTTGTTTCTTGAGGACGTAGACCAGGACGAGCGTGCAGGCGACGATGACGACGAAGGAGACGTACGCCAGGACGATGTTGGCGGACGCCACCGCATCGTACACGCCGTCCCGCTCGGGCGTGAAAGACAGCCCCAGGAGCGTTTTATTCCTGTCCGGGAACCACTGCCAGTCAAGGCCCGTCGTGTAGTAGATCGGGGGCATCATGAGAAAGATCAGGAGGAACAGGGCCGCGTTGACGTAAGCCGAGCGCCGTCTGGTGAGGATCGTTTTAACGCGGAGAGGAAGCGCGATGCACAGGCATCTCTCTGCCGCCACGAACGCCGTTATCCAGCTGGTGACGCGCGATACGTAGATCTTGGGCCAGCCGCCGGACAGATACACGACGGAGAGCGTGTCGAAAGGAACGTCGGAGTAGATGATCCACGGGTTGTAGCACATGCCCATCCAGAACAGGACGACCAGCCCGAGGAGGTCAGACAGGGTCAAGGAGATCAGCGTGACGCTGGCGCTGTCGTCGCACCTCATCCTCCCGAAGACGGCAAGCGTGATGACGTTGGTGATGATACCGAAGAGGCTGAAGACCCCGTACAAGGCGCACTTGAGTATGACGTACCAGACCTGCCTGGCGTCATCGCCGATGATTTTATCCCCTGGGTAAGGTTTAGTGTCCGGACCCGCCCATCTGAACGAGTTTGTCGTGGATGAAACAGTTGCATTGCTGCTGTGCTCCATTGAATACATTGGACCCACGGTGTTAAGTTATACTAGTGAGAGTAGATGTCTTACGCGAACGTTTTTTTCGTGGAGAGTATTGTGAGAAGCTAAACGAGATTATTTGAAGAAAAATGTGAACAACAGGGGAAGACAATCATATTTTTTTTTTACAATTCTCAAAAGTAGGAAATAATCACCGACGCATGCTATGCAATTAGTTATTTTAAAATAATGTTAATTTACCCTCCCGATGTAATCTCAAACTGTACTAGGATTCACTGGTCCTCTCCTACACTGTCAGTAAGATTTTACTGTGTCTCTCCTACACTGCCAGTAAGATTTTACTGTGTCTCTCTCCTACACTGTCAGTAAGATTTTACTGTGTCTCTCTCCTACACTGCTAATAAGGTTTTACTGTGTCTCTCTCCTACACTGCCAGTAAGATGCTACTGTGTCCCTACACTACTAATGACAGTTCGTTCCTTAGGGTTTAAGTATAGCAATTAAGGTTTATAGCCATTCATTGATTTACTAAAGAAAGAAAGATTTAATACCTGTTAACTACGCGGAATGTACGAAGAATTTCTTATTTAAAATTAATAAACTTAGTTGCTAAATGGTTGACCTAAATTGGGTCAAATCACGACATGAAGGGTGGGAATAAAGAGTCTTTTATTTTTAAAATAATTTCTTTAAATATATGCAATCAAAATGAAGAAATCAAACTTTGTGTTTCTATGCCATTGCATGGTTTAAATATTCTGTCAAATGTTGTGTTTCTATGCCATGGTGTGGTTTAAATATTCTGTCAAACACTGTGTTTCTATGACATTGCATGGTTTAAATATTCTGTCAAACGTTGTGCTTCTATGACATTGCATGGTTTAAATATTCTGTCAAACATTGTGTTTCTATGTCATTGCATGGTTTAAATATTCTGTCAAATGTTGTGTTTCTATGCCATGGTGTGGTTTAAATATTCTGTCAAATATTGTGTTTCTATGCCATTGTATGGTTTAAATATTCTGTCAAACATTGTTGTTCTATGCCATGGTGTGGTTTAAATATTTTGTCAAACTTTGTGTTTCTATTCCATTGTATGATTTAAATATTCTGTCAAACTTTGTGTTTCTATGCCATCGTATGGTTTAAATATTCTGTCAAACTTTGTGTTTCTATTCCATTGTATGATTTAAATATTCTGTCAAACATTGTGTTTCTATGCCATGGTATGGTTTAAATATTCTGTCAAACTTTGTGTTTCTATTTATTTATTTATTTATTTATTTAGGCATTTTTATATAGCGCTTATCATAAAGCTCTAAGCGCTTTACAATTATTAAAACATGTAAACTAAGTAAATACAAATGAGACACTAGGATAGTAACTACTATTCTATAGAAACAATGAAAATGGCTATAAAAAGAGGACACTTTGACACTTCAGGATTAAACCGAAACAGAAAATTAGGTAGGGCAAGGAGGGTGCATCACAGGTCATAGGCGGACCTAAACAGATGAGTTTTAAGGGACTTTTTGAAAATGGACGAGGTTTCACTATGACGTATATGGAAGGGGAGCTGGTTCCAGAACGTGGGCCCATGGAAGCAGAAGGAGCGTTCACCGATGGTCTTAGTTTTAGTTCTTGGGATTGAGAGGGTTCTACTGTCAATGGAAGAACGTAGTTGTCTTGTGGGGATGTAAGGAAGCAACAGTTCAGAGAGATAGACAGGAAAGTGAGGGTCAGTGAACGAGTTGAAGCAAAGATTGGCAGACTTGTATTTGATGCGAGAGGATATTGGAAGCCAGTGGAATTGCCGCATGTGTGGTTGAATGTGGTCATGTTTCTTTGATTCTTTCTATTCCATTGTATGATTTAAATATTCTGTCAAACTTTGTGTTTCTATGCCATTGTATGGTTTAAATATTCTGTCAAACTTTGTGTTTCTATGCCATGGTGTGGTTTAAATATTCTGTCAAACTTTGTGTTTCTATTCCATTGTATGATTTAAATATTCTGTCAAACTTTGTGTTTCTATGCCAAGGTATGGTTTAAATATTCTGTCAAACATTGTGTTTCTATGCCATGGTATGGTTTAAATATTCTGTCAAACTTTGTGTTTCTATTCCATTGTATGATTTAAATATTCTGTCAAACTTTGTGTTTCTATGCCATGGTATGGTTTAAATATTCTGTCAAACTTTGTGTTTCTATGCCATGGTGTGGTTTAAATATTCTGTCAAACTTTGTGTTTCTATTCCATTGTATGATTTAAATATTCTGTCAAACTTTGTGTTTCTATGCCATTGTATGGTTTAAATATTCTGTTAAACTTTGTGTTTCTATGCCATTGTATGGTTTAAATATTCTGTCAAACGTCAACGTTGGTTACTCAGAAATCATTCTGTGTTTGGTATTTTCTTTCGGACTGTCCTGAATTAAACCACTTTTTCAACACTGTTCCTGTTGTTTGAGTTTGTAATTTGTAATTAGATTTCCAGAAAGAGAACAGACCGATCGTACACGTCATAGTTCCACGACAGATGTGTCACGGCTCACTTGTGGTCCGCGCGACGATGCTGGGTGTGCAGTGGCAAAATTTCCCCCGAGGGGGGGGGGTGGGGAGAGAAACTCGGAACTCGTAAAAACGACATACAGCTTTGTTAAAGAAAAGAAACAATGACAGGTTATAGCTGTCAACTGTTTAAGTCCAATAGCATAGCACCTGTGTGTGTTTAAATTTTGCGGGTCAAGTGAAGAATTCACCGCATCTCAATGTGTCTGCAGCAACCAGTCATATATCCCACCCCCCAACCAACCACTTTGGGCTTTATCAAAGTTGGGATGCGTCCATTGATCTCAAGAAATGGGAATGTCTCCGGCACACCGAGACATTTTTTTAAAGCTAAAACAATTTTTAAAAAACAAAACATCTAAAGTATTTCTTTAGTATAGAAATAAGCCGTCGTATACGAAACAATAAAATAAGTAATAATAATTAACTACCTTAAAGTGACAAAAATGAATGATCATTTAGATTTGGTAACCGCTGGCGGAGCACGCTGGTAAATCCGTTCAGATTGTGAAAAAGAAGAATGTTTATATGTTTCGGTCCTAAAATTAAGAGAAAGGATTCGCTCTGATCTCGCTGATCTTAGGTAGCTGTGATGAGTTGGGTGGGATGTGATGAGTTGGGTGGGATGTGATGAGTTGGGTGGGATGTGATGAGTTGGGTGGGATGTGATGAGTTGGGTGGGATGTGATCTGAGGTATCTGTGATGAGTTGGGTGGGATGTGATGAGTTGGGTGGGATGTGATGAGTTGGGTGGGATGTGATGAGTTGGGTGGGATGTGATGAGTTGGGTGGGATG